AGTGACCTTCAAATTTAAGATGCCAAGAAGATGCCAACTTTTGTAAACTAAAGTTTCCAAGGTTAAGAATCAACTTAAATTGTAACTTTTAAGCCTCAGGAAAGAAGTAGAATTCACAATTCCAAACTGGACAAACTTGTGGAGGACAGTCATGGGGTAAGATCGAAAGATATTAACAGTGACTAAATGGATCTCATGGTCAGCCAAGATACCATGTTTTACCACCGATTAATGGTAATCTGCATTCATATGAAAGACAGGCAAGATGGAAGTACCGTGATCAAGACTTTTGCTTCCCTTTAGGCTATAAACAGACACTACAACATTCTAATCAACAAAAGAACAGACAATCATTATCACGTACTGAAGAATATTTATATGCACAAGGTCTGTATAGGTGTGTTAATGTCTACATGCATCATCACACTCACACAAAGTAATTCTTGAGTGTTCATTAACATGTTTGGCATTTTTACCACCACAACCATCACCACCATTATCGTCATTGCAGTCAGTTTCTCCCGGTTAGGATTCCTTCAGTGTTCATGGTTCAGGAGGTTTCTACCAGGAGCCCAATTATCCACAGAGGTCTCCTCCTCTCCAAAACAAACAGATCCGCTGTTTCTTGTACAGGCTTTAATTTGTTCAATATTTGCAGAATCATATCAGACCATTCAGATTCATATTTAATTATCTAATTACCTAAGAGCAGGTCTTGTACAAATACACTTTGATTAAACCCTGTAACATAGTTTAGAATTTTATAATGTCTGTTTTTCTTTTAATAAAGCTATAATTCCTGTCAGTCATTACTTAGTGTATGTGCACTGCATTCACAGACAAAACCAATTGGAAATGTCTTATAATCATGAGATATTTGCCTGCAATTATGAGATACTTAGTCATAATGATGACATACAGAGGTCAATTACAAGAAAATGTAAAATGTATTTTGTTCTGTCTGGTTCATGCAATACTCCTACATGCTCACTTATAAATGTATCATAGCTACAATACATATAATTAATACAGGGATGGATCTACAAAACTGTATTTAAAAAAATGTCCAGAACTACCATTACCAACACTATCATTGGCATGATGAACTTGAATAACTAAAGCAATGGATTTAGCTAAGGAAAAAACACTATTAGTTTCTACTGTATTAGGCTTCATTTGTTAAAACTTTTCTATTAATAAAGAACAAATAATATATATATTTCCATTAACTGGTATGACCAGACGAGCACTGGGCAGTAACAATAACGTGGGAACGTTTCCAAGTGAGAATGTTGGGAAATTTTCTTGGTCTTTACGTACACATTACGTGAATGCATCATTAGCTGCAAGTTAACCGATGTTTACTGTATGACAGGAACATGAATGTTTGCTAACCTTAGCCATCATGGCTAATAGCTGGCTTCAGCTGTATATGCATGTATAGTTGAGATTTAGGTCATGTGACTGACTTGGCAATTCAATAAAGTTCCACTGAAAACTTCCACTTTTTTCTTCTTTTAAAAAACTCAATGTCCTTCCACATTTCCCTAAAGAGTCCTGCCCTGTTCACCCATTATGCACCCTCAACCTTCCAGCAGTGTACATTGTAAATTCAGTTTCATTGTAAATTTTGTTGTCCTGCCTCTATGTTTGTACTGCATAGTCAACAACAGGCTCGGATATTTTAGGTAGGGCTAACATTGTTACAAACCTTTACAGAGTCAAGTGAGGACAATTGATGCCTATAAATCTATGGGTGAACATGTGTCTCCCTGTTGTCTAAACATCCTCAAAGGCTCAAAGACAGACCAAAGCCCACGCTAAATGCTGAACGACTATTTTACGTGCAAAAAAACAAGCCTCAAATCCAGATAATTTAACACATTTAAACTTCTGTACCTATTTAAGCTTACACATGGAATAAACAACGCATAACTCCCTTGATGACCAACACACTTGAAATAAAGACAGGAGAGTTCTCACACTAATTCCAGGGTTAGGGTAAACTGACTGACTTTTAAATGAAAGCAAAATATTTCATGTATCTGTTCTTCACAGCAGATAGTGACAGATCTCAGAGCTCATAATAAGCACAATGGTGTGAAAGACACACCCGTTAGTTTGGGTGGATCCCGTTAACAATACGTTATTCACCCTGTCAGCTGCTTGTCATGAAAATAACATGAGTTTCAATCACAGGGAAGTGTGCAGTGGAAAATAAGCAGCTTTATTTGCTGAGTCCTTCCTAGTCACTTCATGAAAATGCAATTATACAGTTGCAGGATAATTTAAGTTACAGGTATCTGCATAATAATATACTGTCTTGAGAAATCTGGGAATTTTTTGCCAATGGGCTATAAATTATTTTTTTTCTTATGCCAAAAAGGTGGTTGCTTAAAAGCTGCAGGTAATGTGATGCTCCACCTTGTACATGAGGTGAGAATGTTTTTTAGATGTGTCTATCCTACAACATATTGTAGGTTTACTTGTGTCATTTGCCAAATAAGTAAAGGTGATGAAACGAAAGATTACAGCAGCTGAAAAACTGGTTAAGTGACTGACAGAGCCATCAGTTAGTGACTCTGGTTGCTTAGCGACAACCACAACAAGAGCAGCAACCTGCTCTGCTAAATAGGTTTCAGGGAGTGCAACTACAGGTGTGACCTCTGCCATGTTACTCAGCTGCTCCCTTACCTTATACTGTAGCACAGTGGTTCAGAGATGAATTTTCCTGATTTTAGGGACTTTTTTCTGTATATAGGCTATTTGTTTTTGTTTTAATTTTTAACAATCATACATACTTAATAGGCTTCTTTCTTTGACAAATTCAGTGTCAAGTGAAGGCTCTGGGAATTTAGCTTGTGTTCAGATCTTCACTGTGCCCTTATCCTGTGAGATTTCTCAAAAATTTAAATCTAAAATAATCTAAACTATAAAAAATAACAATTTAAATTGTTAGCTTCTTCACAGAAATTAACAAAAATGTTGAGATTATAGGCGCTATGTATATATTTTTAAAACATGTTCTTACGCACCTTAAAATATGTCTTTTTTTATTTTATCCATAGCCTTTAATGGATATTGTCAGCTGAAGAGTGACAGGAGAAGGGGGAGGCACAGAGTTGATGACACACAGCAAAGGTCTGTAGATAAAAATAGGACATTCTAAATTAACAAAAACACAAAGATTTCTATATTCAGGTGATATACATACCTATGAATATTATATTCCATTTTGGACAATAGATCCTCCTAAATGTTACACACAGGACCTTGAAATAAAGTAGTGCAGGTAGGCTAAGCAAAAAAATAATGATAGTCTGTGCTATTGAGTTAACAATAACAACAAGTGAAAAATAAAATTGAACAATAACAATAACAATCTCCCACTCTATGTCCAGCTCTTCAATACCTCGCTGTTCCTACTTACACTAGCTAGCTACTTCCTAAAGCAATCTTAAACAGCCCAACAGACCAGTAGCTAAAATATAACATTAGAGATTAAAGTTACACAGTAAAAAATAACATAGCTAAATGTTAGCTAGCTGAGATGGATGTGCCTGCAGAGGTTGGAAGAAGAGTTTTTAAAAGCAAAGATCTCACACAGCAAAAATTGGGGTGTTGAAATTTCAGGGTTAAACATTTCAGAGTTAATTTTCACTCCCAAAGTGTCATTTTAACACAGTCAGATTTAAATGATGTTCAGTGTTGGAGTTATTTTACAGTGTTGATCTCATCAGTGTTTACAAATCCTGTCTGGTGTTAGCCCGTCTCTGCAGAGATGTAAATAAACTCCACCCACACAAGACACGTATTTGACTTTTCGGTTAGATACAAGGTTAAAGACAGCATGTTTTCCTCCTCTCATGTAGCTCTAGCTAACTGTTAAATACTAAAACTGTCTCCAGCTTTGTCAATGATGATTTTACAACAATTCATATGCAAGCCCAAACTGATAAAAAACAAATTTGTATGTGGGTTTTTTTGCCTTTACCGAAGTTGAACATCAAAGCAAGTCCCAACTTGTGCTTCATGCATCTACCTTGGACATTGCCTTTTTACTGTTCCTCCTTTGTTGCATGTCTCAGTGAAAATACTGGTCCAGGTGATGTACAACCAACAGCAGAAGTATGTGCAGTTGGATGAGGTTGAAGGATGGTTTGACTGTCAACAATTCCATGAAAAAGGTTCCTTTATGTTGTAGATTTATTTACATGCTTTAAGTAGACTTTCTGAAAGTACTTTCAGAAATTGCTAAACATTTTTAGTTCTGCACTGTGTGCCTCATAGAGTCTAATGCATTATATACACCAAAACAGTTAAACATTTCAGTTGTAGGGGATACACTGCTTAATA